TTGAAAATCATCTATTTAGGCTGTCTCTTCAATTTCTCCCACCAATGTTGAAATAAAAATAGTTGATATTGAATTCTTTTATATGCAATCTTAAAAAATAATAAATTAAAGCACATCATAATGCATTATTTAAAAAATTATAAGTGAATTTAAATTTATAAGTTTTATACAAACAATACCCTGTTTTTATAGGTGAAACCACTTTGATTTTCATTTTTGATTCGAGTAGAACAAAACTTATTCATCGCTAATTGAGTGGTCGACCAACAACGCATTAAAGAACTTGATATACACTTAGATACAAACATTTTGTTTTTATTGTAGTTTTCATGAATTATTTTCTAATATACCTTATATTTTTGTTCATTTTCACATATTGGATACATGTTAGTGTTGATTCTAGTCTCCGCAAGACAAACATCTTCTTCATCCTAAAATTACTTGATTATTTTATCTTTTTAATCACAGGTGAGTTTTTACATGGATCTTGAGATAGCACAACAAATTGATTAGAGTATTAAGCGAGCGGATCATAACCTTCTTGTGAAAATTATATTTTTAGGTTAACCCGTTTATATATAAAATTAGTAAAATAGCCATAACCTTGAGACTCCATTGAAATTCGTTTGATTAATTGTGATTGAGAAAGAAATTAAAGCTACTCAAATATATCAAAGTGTGGTTTTTATATAGAAAAAATCCAATTTATAGAAGAATTTGGATTGGTACAAATTATATCATTTATATTAGACTGTAAAATTTCAATGGATAAATAATCTTTAAACATAATATTTTTTTTATTAATGTAGATATTTAGCTCAGTTTGAATATATTTCAAATAAAAAAATTATTATATTTTTTTCTTTACAATTTATTGTTGCACGTTGAGAACAACCACCCAAGTAATTAATGAGTCTCTGCTTGTATCACCAAAAATCCTTCTTCTCTTGCTTCTTACCAAGTGCATGCACAATTCTCATTGAATCCATATAAATAAAGCAACAACCTTATTTGCTTCATAGTTATCTCAGACAAGGATCACAATTGAATCTATAAAAGCTTTTTTGTACTCAAATTCTCCTCCTACCCTGAAAATGTTGAAAAATAGTGTTTCATGAAAAATATTTAAAGCAAATATGTCTCTCACAGGTGAAATAGAAGAAAGGGCTAGCCATATACAGTGGATGACTTTGTAGATGGTGCATTCAGTACCACTTTCAATTCGGTTGATTTGGTCGAGTTCAAAGAAAAAAAGATTTTGAGCCATTGAAGTTGGGTGGGGGAAGGAGTGGGGTGGCAAGCTACTGGTCGAGCTGAGGGAGTGGGAGGGTTAGGTCAAGGTGGCAGCGGTCTGCTATTGTTGGTGTGATGATTGATGAAGGAAAGGGTTGTGGTGGTAGGGGTTGAATCGGTTTCATGACTCAATGAGTTGAATCAAATTAGACAAGTTGGTGAATTTTGATAGAGAGCGAAGGGAAATGGGAATTCCTTTTTTGAGAGAGATGAGGGTGGATTTGTAATGGGGGAAGGAATGTGCATTTTAAAGGGGGGGAACACTTTAATGGTTTTTTTGCAATTAAATAAATAATAATAATAACTATGTAAATAAATAAATAAAACTTGTTAATTTTTGTAAGAGGATATTAAAGGTTCAAGATGCAAATAATACTTATTTAAACTATAGCGGGTAGTCATAGTATTGGCTAATTTGAGTAATTTTCTAATAAAAAAACTTTTAAGATTTGGTATCAAAACCATTAATGTAAAGGAAATGTTGTGTAATTTGTTAATAAATATATAGTTTACTTGGTACCTATAACTAACATAATATACACATGATTATGATTATGGACACAAATGGATAGAGAAAAAATAATTCATTGCCAAATAACATAATTTACTTTTCAGGGGTAAAAAGAGTAAATTTGATTTAAATTCATTGTAAACCTCCAAGCATAGACTAAAACACGATAAAAATATTATATTTTTGACAATCACATTTTAAAATACATCTATAAATCGTCCCCCTTTAGTTGCGTGCGAAAACCTTTCAGAATGCAGGAAAATCTTAATCAAAGTCACAAAGCACAATAACTAGGCGGCAGACACACTGACAGTTGCCCCTAACCCTAAGCCCTCCATCCACCTTTTAAATTCCTAACCTAAAATCTGAAAAAGCAAACTAACATCTCACGCCTTACGCTTCGTTTCATTTTGATTCTGTTTCTCCTTTTCTTTTTCCTCGCAGGTTAAAAAAAAAAAACCAAAAACCAACGCAATTATGGCAACCTGTCAGCAAAATCAGGAATCCAAGAACCTCCTTTGCAGCTCCATCACAAGAGGATATTCTTCCATAGAAGAACACAAAGAAGAGGGAGGGAGAGAGAGAGAGAGAGAGAGAACAGAGATCCAGAGACAAATAAAAAACCTGACCAGGTCCAACCACCATTCATGTTCATGTATTATATGAATCTTTAATCTTCACCTTCTTCCATTAATAACCCTCTAATAAGTAAATAATATATATATATATATATATATTGTGTAATTGTAAATGTAAAAAATATAAAATTAGCATGCCATATAATTCGGTTACAGGTACATATGTTTGTCTACCATCATAAATTGCTTCGTTAATTTGATTTCCAGTCTCATTGATTCTTACCATCAGCCCTGCACACAACTTCTTGTCATCGGATGTTAATCCTGCACCCGAAGCAACAATCTTAATCAGCACTGTCGATTCATTAATCGTTACATGCATGAAATGTCTACTTCCAAGATGAGAAATTAGGCAATCGCGATACATAAACGGATATGATGTATTCATTCTGCAGGTGAAGATTCCTGACCCCATTTCACCCTGTGTATGCTGTGTCATAAGACTCCAAGCTTGCAGTTTCTTACCATTTCAGGATGGGGGGGGGGGGGAG